GAAAGAGTGGGTCTTCTTGGGGCCGACAAGTCCGGATTTGAATCCCAGCACTGCTACTTACTGACTGTGCGACCTTGGGCAAATTACTCAACCTCTCAGGGCCAAGCCTCTAAAGCAGGGGTCTCCAAACCCCGGGATGCGGACCAGTACTGGTCCATGGCCTGTTAGGAACTGAGCCACACCGCTCGCGTTACCGCCTGAACCATTCCCAACGCCCCCTCATCGCCCTCCGTCCGTGGAAAAATTATGTTGCACAAAACCGGTCCCTGCTGCCGAGAAGGTCGGGGACCGCAGCTCTAAAGCAACCGGAGCTGATACGGTTACTACCCTTATCTACTATCTGACTCTCACAGGTTGTTGGGAGAAGGAAATGTTATCAAGTGGTCAATAGCCATGGCCATCAACTGATCCATCGCACTCATCAGATGAGATTCCATCTGCTCGCACTGCCACTGGGAAGTGCTACTATCATCCACCCAGAGGGATGGGTGGAGAGTGTGGGAGGGGTTAGCAAGGTCCTCCAGCCCTGCCCTGGCCCCAGGCCTGCAGTGAGGGAGACTTCTGCCAGGAGGTGAGCGTGATTTGCAGTAAAGGGGGCACATCCTCAGGCGGGAGTAGCCTGCTGCTGGGCCCTGGCCCTGAGCCCGCCTGCACCCCAGCTCACCTGATTGGGCTGGACCGGGAGTCCAGGTCAGCGGCTGACACCTGGCCCACCAGGGTCCCGGGAGACTTGTTCTCAGGGACTGCCAGGATGTAGGCAGCCTGGGTGAAAGCGGGTGGTTCTGGGGCATCCTGCACAGCCACGCGCACTGAGGCCACGTCCTTGAAGGGCCCTCGCCGCAGGTAGGCTGGGTCGATGAGTGTGTTGGTCGCCTCCACACGGAAGGAGTAGGAGCGACGGGTCTCGAAGTCTAGGGGCTGTGGTGAGGGGGACGGAGTGACTGAGGCAGGGGGGAACCCGGGAGGTGGGCACCAGCGGGGCAGTGGCCTCGGTGGTCGGGGTGGGGTGGGGCACGGGTTACTCGGTCAGAACTCTAGGTCTGCCCCCAGTTCCGTCACAGACTTGCTCTGTGCAAAGTCCTGAGCCAGTCACTCCCCTGTTCTGGGCCTGAGGCCCTCATCTGAAAGATGAGGAGATGACTGTAATCTCTAAGCTCCAACACAGGGATCCCAACCGAGCCTGTTCTAGCCCAGTTAGAAGCGTGTCCCACAGGGCAGGAGGCAGGTGTGAGTGGGTCCGCAGCGCTAGCAGACGGGAGGCTAACCTTGCGGACAGTGAGGAGGCCATCTCGACCCCGGGAGTCTGTGCTGATGCTGAAGGCCTCGGACCCCTCGCCATCCAGGATGCTGTATGCCATGAGGGCGTTGTCCCCCAGGTCTGGGTCCTGGGCCCGCAGCCGGCCCACCAGGGTGCCCGGCCCAGCGGTCTCCACCACAGAGAACTGGTACAGGCCTTGGAGTGGATGGAGGGAGGCGTTCTGAGAGAGGTCCCCGGCGCTCCTCCCTCCCCCAGCACATCCTTCTGCCAGGCCTGGCTGGGGGAGGGGTGGGGGAGGCTTCTCCCGAGGCTGTAGGGCTGGGGGTGGTCAAAGGGCAGCTCAGGCGGGGCACTTGTCCCTTACTCTGAGGGAACTTGGGGGGGTTGTCGTTGACATCGCTGAGGGTGACCGTCACCGTAGTGCTGCCCGACAGCCCCCCCATGTGGCCGCCCATGTCCTTGGCCTGAATCACCACCAAGAACTCCTCCTGTGTCTCGCGGTCCATGTTGGGGATGGCGGTCCGCACCACTCCTAGGGGGAGAGACGATGAGTCAGGGGGTGCCTGTCCCCACGGCTGCCCTACCCGCCTCCCAAGCTCTATCCTCACCAGTCTGGGGGTCCACAGAGAAGAAAGGCAGTCCATCCAGCACAGTGTACACCAGCTTGGCACTGTTCCCGTAGCTGGGGTCATCGGCATCGTGAGCAGTCACCTGGATCACTGATGTCCCTGTGGGGGACCCCGGCACTCCGCTCAGCCAGGGCAGAGCCAAGTGGGGAAGAAGGGTAGATAGGCGGGACCCAGACATGAGTGGGGCTGAATTGCAGGAGGTGGGTTCTGGGGCAGAAAGCAGTCGGGGAAGGAGAGGTGAGGGCACTCTAGGAGATGGGATCCGGGATGTCCAGACCTGGGGTACTCACCGACATTGGACATCTCGGGCACTGTGGCGTGGTAGGGCCCAAGGGGAAAGATGGGTGGATTGTCGTTGATGTCTTGCACCTTGATAATGAACTCCGATGGGGGCTCCAGGGGTCGGTTGGAGGCTCGGTCCACAGCTTGGGCCAGTAGAACGTACTGTGCCTTCTCCTCCCGGTCCAGGCTCTTGGTTACGTGGATATTGCCTGTGGCCTCGTCAATCACAAATACAGTGCCTGCCCCCTCTCCGGTCAGCAGGTACTTGGTGCGGCCCTCACCCCTGTCCACATCTGAGTGCAGCTGTAGGGATCGGGGAAACATGGCAGCGGGTTCCAAGCACAGGGACAGAAAGTTAGAGTCTAAATCTAGGATTGGGTGGAGGGTTGGGTGTCCTGAGGGACCAAGGTCATTGAAGAAGTGATGAAGTTGCAGGGCAGGGCCTTGAGGGTCAGGGTAGACATGGGAGGGGCTGATCCCTACCTTGCCAATCAGGACAGGCTCTGGTCCGGCGTATTCCTCAATGACAAAGAACTGGTTCCACACCCAGCTCCGTCGGGTCCGAAGCAGCGCTGGTCCTGGGGCCCCCCGAGACCCTGCCCAAGCCCGGGCTGGGGCTGCCAGGCGCCCCATGCAGCTCCAGCCACCCAGCCAGGTCAGCAGGACCCTCACCAGGCCCCACATGTTTGGGCTCAGCCAGGGCTCTGTTCACTGCTCCCGGGTGCTGAGGCATGAGCTGGCTGGGGCAGAGGGGCAGATGCTTTGGGGCTGCCCCATGTATCCACACCTGCAGGATGGGCAGCTGTTTACGGTTAAGGAAACCCTCAAACCCTTAAACCTCCCCAAAGTTAGATGCGGAAGATCACACCTCCAAGGAACCAGACGCCCCACTGCCCGGAACCCAGACTAAGACAGAGAGCAGACAGTCTGATCTTTCCCTCCACCCAGGCTCTGCCCGTATTCACCTCCAGCCTTCCAAGCTGATAAATCTCCGGCCACTCAACTCTGAGTAGAGAAGCTTGGGAAGAAAACAGGAGAGGGGATGCTGGGAGGGCTTGGAACCCCAAACTGGCCCCTCTGCTCCCAGGGTGGGCATGCAGCTTGGGGCTGGAGGAGATGGGGACTACCAGGTAAAGGGCTTAAAATCCAGGGATTGGGATTCATGGAGGTGTGGTCTCAGGGCGCCTAGGTCAGGCTGAGATGACAAGCAGGGCAGCCTCAGACAGGGTTGAGAGCCTGTGAAAGTCCGTCCTCCACAGGCACTCTGCCTCTCCAGAACCTGCCCCCGGCACACAGCTAGCTGAAGTCCTTGAAGGGGGACTGGGCTCCCGAGGCAGAGTGGGGGGCCAGAGCTGAAAGAAGAGGGGTGGTAGAGGCCGAAGACTGGGGAGGGGGAGCAGAGGCAGACCCAGAGGCTAGAGACACAGCGTGATTAAGGGTGAGACCAAGACTCAGGGACTGTCAGACAGAGAGACAGAGACAGAATGGCAGCAAGAGACAGGAGGAAAGAGATCAAAGGAGGTAGCCTGGGTGCCTGAAAGGCAGAGAGGAGTCACGGGTACCAGGATTGAGAATGGGTGGAAGAGGGGGCAGAGGGGCTTTCAGTACGTGTGATGACCAGGAAGGGGCAGCTTTAGCTGCCGGGGTCAGACCAGGCCGCCCCGTTGCGGAACTTCATTTTGGGAGAAGGGGCAGCCAGGAGGGGCTGGGGGAAGGAAGCTAGAGGACCCTTCCCACCACTGTCTCCTCCCTCTCTTCCAAGGGGCACCCCTCAGGTGGCTGTGGCTGCGCCCCTCCTCCCCTAGAGCAGACATACACCTGACAGTCCTTGCCTTCCCAAGAGAATAAGGAAGCCGGGGGCCAGAGAGGGAGGCGGGACGGAGAGAAGGAAGGCGAAACAGGACTGGGAAACAGGATAGCGGGAAGGGAAGGGAAGAGGAGAGCAGAGAGAAGGAACGGGGAAGGAAAGGAAAGCGGGAAAAAGAAAAGACAGGAGAGGAGAGAAAGGTGGAGGAAGAAAAAGGCAAAGACGAAGAGGAGATGGAGCAAGACAGGGCAAGAGGGAGAGAGAAGGGTTGGGGAGCCAGGGAAGGGGCAGAAAAGGCAAACACGCAGAGAGAAGGCAGGATGAAGAGAAATCGAGGGAGAGGAAGATGGGAAAAAGAGGGAGAGAGAGGTGCAAGGGAAGAAGGGAAAGCGGTAGAGCGCGGGAGAAGGGAGCCGGCAGTGGGCTCCCAGTCGCGGAGCGCACCGTTCACCGCTCTGAAGACACCCGCAGGCTGCGGGCCCCCTGCTGCCCCTCCGAGGATTCCCAGCCGCGGGCTCCAGGGCAGGCGCCCTTACCTGGCAGTGCCAAGGGGCCCAGCCCGGTGGGGAGCGCCCCCGCCCGCCCCCGTCGCCGGGTCCCGGGGGCGCAGCCCCGAGCCGATCGGAGCGGGCGCCGCGGCTCCGCTGCAGGTCTGAGCAGCCCCGGCTAGAACAAGGGAGCGAGACGGAGGGGGCGGGGGAAGGAGGCTCCGCCTGCGGAGGAGCGAGGCGCCTCCGCGCCGCGCGGGAGGGCCCAGCCTCCGACCCTCCCCGGCCAGCCCTGGCCGCGCAG